GCCCCCCCAGTGCTGCACCTCCTCCCAGCCACAGCGCCCCCAGAACCTGCCACCCTGAGGCTCCAGCCATGGGGGGTGAGAGTTGCCTCCCCGGTGTAGCCCCCCACCTGATCTTCCTAAGCGCACTCCCAGAGTACCCTGCAGTAGCTGCTCCCCAAAATCCCTCTGCAGCTACCCCCAAATTTCCTTGCCAGAGCTCCCACCCGTTTTCTAATGGCTTTCCCCTGAATCCCTTTACATTCTACCCTGGTGCCCCCAAAAATTCCACATCCAGAGCCCCCCCCACCTCTGTCCTAGCTGCAGCCCCAAGTTTTCAAGTTCCTGTCCAGACACTCTCAAAACCTCCCTTCCACAGCTGCCACCCCTCCCTAGTTACTCCCTTTTCTCCCTCTCCAGACACCCCCTTCAAATCCCACTCCTAGCGCCCACCTTCCCCAACTTCCTGCCCAGGTTCCTCCAAAAACCTTCCCGACTCTTCTCAAAGCCACCCAGCCAGCTCTCCTACGCCCCAAACCTGCCCCCCACCATCAAGGTCTGGGTTGGCAGAGGAGTGTGGCTGGCATCTGGGGGTGCTGCCGTTGTCCCACGCCGGTGGGGCCCTGTGAGTTCAGGGATGGCTGGTGAGCCCCTGGCTGTGTCTGGCTGGTGGCGGGTGCTGGCGTTCTGCTCTTGCGTAAGGGGATATGGGGAAGAGGGCGTGGGGCAGGAAACAGGCTGATGCCCAGGACTTCCAGCTGTATCCGTCTGCCAGCCAGGCGCTGCTAGACCCCAGTGAGGGGGAGATTGTCAAACTGATTGTCAAACGGATCTCTGTGGGTTTACTCCAAGCTCACACCCTGCATTTTTACATGCACCCCCAAGAATCCCACCAAAATCTTAATCCCTGTTTGAGTTGCCCTCAAACTCTACACTCCCAAATCTTTCCCTTCCCCTTGGCCCCTCTCAGTCCCCCCAAATCTCTCTCCAAACTTCTCCCTCTCTAGGGGTAACCCGAAGGCTCTGCCCTCCTTCTGAATTCACCCCACATTTTCAGGGAACCCCCAAACTCCTCCCCAACTATCTGGCCCCACCCTTCTTGCCATTGACCCCCAAGATCAAAGTCACCCCTTGATTTCCATGCCCCCCCCCCCCCCGTCCAAGTTCTTGCCTTTATTTGTATATGTATAGGAAGGATGAATGCACTTGGCTGACTGGGTTTTGGCAACAGCTGGGAAATGGTCTCCTCCCTCCCAGGAATGGAATAGAGCCCAGGAGTCCTGGCTCTCAGCCCCTCTGCTCTAACCCACCAGCCCCCACTCACCTCCCAGAATCAGGGAGAGAACTGGCTCCCAGCCCCCGCTGCTATTCCTGCACTGGTGCTCCCTCTACCCCACATCTGCCAGTGCTCCTCAAAACACTCATGCAGCTTGTTACACGGGGGCCCCTCACCTGGCATTGAAAGGCAGCCACTTCTGGGGTGGGGCAGCTGTTGAGAAAGCCTGAACAGTTTTTCTCAGGAACTGAACTCTGTGACAATCGGTTTGTTCTAGTGAGAACACAAGATAAACACCTGCTTCCTGACCCAGCCACCCACGCGGCTACTGCTCTGGCAGACTGATCAATCACATCCTGATGGCCTTCACTCCACAGGTTAGAAGCGAGGAGCCTTGGTGGGGCTAGGGCAGCAGAAGGGTGATTGACCAAGGCAGGATGGGGAGCTGAGGCCTGGCAGAGCAAGGCAGGTCACAAGGGGGTGTATGTCATGGGGTGAATTGATGGTAGAGGATGTGCGGGGAGGGCTGGCCAGCTTCATGCCGTGTAATCCGCTGAATGAACCATGTTTGTCAGCATACCTGCCCGGTGCCACCCACTACTAGCCAAATGTAACTCTGCCTCAGTGTTCCCCCCTTTTGGCCTCTGGTCTAGTAAGTCCTGCACGAAGGCTTTCAAAAGAAAAGCCACACCTACAATATGTTCCTCCACATTTCTGTGGGGTCTGCTGCCTCCTCCCTCAGCTTCCTGTTCTCCCAGCACCTGTCATCTAGAATTCTGCCTCCCTCTGGGCAGCGCTTGCCAGCAGCTATCTGTCTTTGTAAGCTGCCCTGTTGGGTAGCTGGCCATGAATCCAGGTGACTTGGATTCCACTCTCCTTGTACTAGGTTGTCACCTTGGGACAAACTGATTCATGGCTGGTTTCAATTCATTGCTTGACAGATGGCCTCCCACTGCGTAGACCAGGGGTCAGCAACCTCTCAGAGGTGGAGTGCTGAGATTTGACTTATTCACCTCTACGTATGGGTCCGAGTGCCGGTGATACTTTTTAAAGTCAATGATAGTCCTACTTACAGCAGCTTCATTAATAAAGATGAAGATCTTACCTTTGAGTGCAGGGGTCAGCAGTCTTTCGGAAGTGGCGTACCAATATTTAACTTACTGACTGATCTGTGTGCCAGGGGGAGGAGGGGAGGCAAGGACAGGCTGGATATGGTGACCATATTTTCTGAACCAGTTGCAGCTAGGGAGAACGGTTTAATTTAAATTATGAAACAGATTAAGTGTTTTAACTTCCTCATGTTGGTTTATCAAACTTCATTTTAAATAAAATAAAACATTATGTCCAACACAAAAGGTTTCCATGTTTTCTTTATTTATGGCAGGAGTGGGGAACCTTTTTTGGGTGGGGGGGTCACTAACCCACAAAAAGAACCAGTTGGAGACCACATCAGTGAGAAGCAAAGAAAAAAACCTTCTTCAAAAACCCCCAACCCTCATTGATGCGTGTAGCCAGACAGACTGCCCTCCCCATCTCATCCATCTTATTTGCCTCTCTGAAGCATACAGGGCAGAGAAGGAGCAGTAAAATCAGCATAGTCTATGCTGGCTCATCTGATCCTGAGAAGCTGAAAAAAAACCCAGCTATGTGGAGAGAGAGCGATTAAGTCAATAAGCTGGCCTTGAGGCTGCGAGAACTGCCCCGGCTGGCACCCATGTTGATTCGAACACACACACAGTCCCTGGGAGAGGAATTTCCCACTGAGAAAAGAATCCCCAGTAATTCCAATTTAGTTATCGCTCTTACAAGTGTAAATTAAGTTCACAACTCCCTTGTAAGAAGTGGTCTCACAAAAGACAGACCAGCCCCATTTGGCATGACAGATAAAGAGAAATACGTGACCCCATGAGTATAAAAGATGGGTCCAGCACACACTCACTTGGAGTGTCATTCTACCCTCTACCTGCTGGTCGGGTTAGGTGTTTGACCTCCCGAGGTTCTATGGGGACGCCCACCTCGTATTTTCGTCTTTCCTAGGAATTGAGGGACCGGCCCTGGCCTGACATGCTGGAGTCGAGAGGCACAGAAGGGGGTAAAAATTGTACCTGGATGTGGTCCTCTGTCTTAAGTGTACACATAGAAAGAGTAAGCTGTTACTTGGTACCATTATTTCTATTTTTCTATCTTCTTTGTAACCATTTTTAAGATCTATACTTTGCTAGTAGTTAAGAAATAGAACAATAGCCATTGCAACCATATGATTTATAAGCTTCCTCAAATAAACCTGTAACTGTTTAAGCTTTAACCTGACTCCTTCAGTTGCTGTAATAGAACCAAGCACAATTTAAAAGAACTTCAGCCAGTCATAAAGGGACAGATATAGGGAGAGCTTGGGCGTTTGGATTTGTGTCACACCCAGGTGGCAAAATCCGTTGGGGCGCTTCTCAGCCTCCCCCAGGCTGCCCACTGCGAAGGAATGATGAATTCTAGCAGCTGAAATCTGAAGTGTAATAAGCTCTTCCTGTACACTTATTGGGGCGCCCATCAACCTCTTCCAGGTTGCCCACTGCAAGGGACCCCGGTCTCAGCAGCTGAAGTCTCGGGTGTATAGTACACACACACACACCACTCACTGCCCTGACCGTCGGCTGACAATGTGGCCCCCAACTGAGACACCTCACTCATCTGGTGCCCCAGCCTCATGGGGTGAGGGGAAAGAAAGGGGGATTGAGGGTCAGGGCTTCCCATAGAGGGAGGGTGTCAGAGCAAGCTGTGGGTGTGGGGTCTTGGCAGGGGGACACGAGTGAGGGGATTGAGGTGGGGTGAGGTCTGGACATGAGGGGGGACCTTACCTGGCTTTGTGCCCCCTTGCTGCAACGGCCGTGGCCAAACTGTCCTGGGCTGCCCCAAAGGGAGGCCCCGCTGCTGCTACCAGGGCCCACATGGTCCGGGGCCAGTCCTGACCCGCATGGCCGCAGCAGAAGTGCCTCCAGTCCTGGCTGAAGTGCCACTGAGAAGCCTCAGCCAGGGCTGGCCTGAGCCATTCGTGCGCCCCAGGAGCGTGGCACCACCCCCGGGAGTGCAGCGCATGTGCGGCTCCGTCCCTGCCCGATCTGGCAGCCCTGCGCAGCACCCCCTACAATGGGGCGCCCTGGGTGGGAGCCCAGTCAGCCCGTAGCTTGGGCCGGCTCTGGCCTCAGCCCCAGCGTTGCCTCCTTCCACCACAACCTAACATACTGCAGGGATGAGGGAGCACTCTCCAGCAGCTGTGCGCGGGAAGAGTGGCGGGGCTGAGCTCCCTCCCACGTACCATTGAAAATAGCATACTGTAGGTTGCTGATCCCAGCCATAAACCACTCCTTTCCAATCCAGCAAAACCAAAGGAGCAACTAAATGTATTGTGAGATCTGAAACTGTAGAAAGCCACCGCCCAAGATATGTTTGAGCGGGCGCTAAACTCTACGGATGCATGGCTTTCCCTGCAACCAATGGTTAAAGGAGGGGCAGGGAATCTTTTTTGGGTAGGTGGCCACTGACCTACAGAAAAATCAGCTGGGGGGGAGGGCGCACACAAGTGAGAAGCAAAAAAACCAACAAAACCCTTCATTGAGGTGGCCCCCAACTGAGACACTCCCCACATTCCCCTTGCCCACCAGAGCCTTCGGAGGGCCCAACCAATAGATTTTGGGTGCTCCAGCCCTTCAATTAGCTGGGGGGCTAGAACACCAGCTCAGGCTCCCCAATGCCGGGGGGGGGGCCTCTCAGCCTTGGGGGACCAGATCCAGGCAAGCCAGGGGCCATATCCGGCCCCCGGGCCTAAAGTTCCCCACCCCAGGTTAAAGGCATGGAATAAGGGGTCTCTTGTGTTGCCATTGGGTACACATGACAGACAGAAAGCAAGGGAGGCAGGTGGGGTGTCCGGAGAGGCATTTATGAGAGAGCTCGCTGGGGCACAGGACCGGGCAGAAAAGCAGGCCTGGGGATTGCTGAGACGGGAAACCAGTTGGAGCTGTTGGTCTCAGCCATGGGTAGGGAGATGGGCCAGCGTTGACTGTTCATGGTAAAATAAACAGGATTATGCCAAAGAAAATATGTGAATCAGACCATGCATTTCTTCTCCGCAGAATGCCCCTGGTCGCCATTTAGGTCTGGGGAGAGAACCCATGGCTTTGTCTACACTGGCATGATTTTCCGAAAATGCTTTTAACGGAAAACTTTTCCGTTAAAAGCATTTTCGGAAAAGCGTGTCTAGATTGGCAGGATGCTTTTCCGCAAAAGCACTTTTGTGGAAAAGCTTCCATGGCCAATCTAGACATGGTTTTCTGCAAAAAAGCCCCGATCGCCATTTTCGCGATCGGGGCTTTTTTGCGGAAAACACTACTGTGCTGTCTACACTGGCCCTTTTGCGCAAAAGTCTTTCAGAAAAAGACTTTTGCCTGAACGGGAGCAGCATAGTATTTCCGGAAAAGCACTAACGATCTTACATGAGATCATCAGTGCTTTTCCGGAAATTCAAGCGGCCAGTGTAGACGGCTGGCAAGTTTTTCCGCAAAAGCAGATGATTTTGCGGAAGAACTTGCCAGTCTAGACACAGCCCATGAGTCATGGCTCACACCTCCCCGTTTTAACCCACCAACCCTCACACCTCTCCTAGAGCAGAGGAGAGAACCCAGGTGTCCTGGCTCCCAGCCCCCTACTTTAACCACTAGACCCCACTTGCATCCCAGAGCACCCAGGCCAGCAATTCCTCCATAGGCTGATGTGAGGTGGATGTCACAGCCAAGCTCATGTTAGTTTAACTCTTTTTTAATAAGTTTCTGCTTTAAAATACTTTGTGTCCCATGTGCCCCTCCTCCCCCCATGCTGTGTGTGCGCACGTGTGTCCCCTTTGTGGGTGGCTGTCCATCGCCATTGCTGGGAGAAGTTCATTGGTTTGCTGCAAGACCCCCGCCCACCGTGAGGCAGTGGTGGTGCTGGCATGGTGTTATTGGCTGCCTCTGCTGTTAGGTGGTGGGTGAGACAGGCAGTCTGCCTCCTGGCGGACGCAAAAGATAATGCACTCTCCCAGCCAGGCTGTGGGTGTTTCTTTGCACACTCTAGTGGCTGCAATGGGTACTGCATGCTTAGCCAGGCAAAACTTAAAAAACAAAGAATAGTCCTGCAGCACCCTAAAGACTAACAAAAAAGCTGTAGATGGTATCATGAGCTTTCCTAGGTACAACCCACTTCTTCTTTCCATGTGCCCCCTGGTGGTCACAATGGTACTGCAGCTTGAGCCAGGAGTTTCCCTGTACCCCTGCTGGCTGCAATAGGTACTGCACCCTCAGCCAGGTGAAGGGTGTTTCCTTGCACCCAGTGGTGACTGCAACTATGCCCCCCAGCTTGGTTTCAACAGTCCCAAGGTGATGTGCTCAGCATTTGGGACAAGAAGTGCAGGAGAAGCCGTCTTTAAAAATCGTGAGGAGGGGGATGGAATCGGCCTGAGGCACCAGGGTTTCCCGGCCCAACTCTCCTGGTCCCACAGCACGCTCTAGAGATGGGGCCAAGCACCAAGACCGTGGGATACAGGAACAGTCCTGTGCAGTTCTCCCATAGCTGGGGAGCGAACGTAGGAGTCCTGACTCCCAGCCCCTTCCTGCTCTGGCCACTCAACACCACTGCCCTCCAGGAGTCCTGCTCTGCTGGCCCAGGCTCAGTGCACCTGGAAGAGCCCGAAGAAGGTGAGGTAGCGCTCGGCCTTCAGCCTCACATTGGGGATGGTGCGGATGCTCAGGATGGAGGGTGGCTGGAGCAGCAGCAGTCCAGAGACCTGGCAGACCCGCAGCTCAGGGTCATGTGGGCCAGCACTGGTTGGGGGGAATTGCTCCAGGCAGCGCAGTGCCAGCACCCCGTCCACCACCACGTCCAGCTTCATGTACACGGTCCGGCCCTCGTTGAAATGCACCTGCCAGGAGCAGAGGAGGTGAATAGAACCCAGGTGTCTGGGTCTCATTCCCCACCCCCCGCTCCAACTACTAGTCCTCAGTCCCTTCCCAGCACTGGGGACTTCTGGCTCTCAGCCCCCTCGCTTCAACCCCCATTCCCCATGCCCTTCCTAGACCTGGGGAAGAACACAGGAATCCTGGCTTCCAGCCCTGCTAGCCTGGCTCTGTTCCCCTATCTCCCACCCTACTCAGGAAACCCAGGCATCTGGCTACCCCTCACCTGGCAGTATAGGTAGTACAGGCCTCTCCGGACTACGGCAAATTCTCCTTTGGCTGGATTGTAAGTCAAGGGGCTTGTCACATTGAGCTGCGTCTCTGCCCAGCCCTGGATCGTCCCATCAGACCCTGGCATGGGGCGGGGAGGGAGACACAGAAGAGGAGAGCTCAGCAGGATGTGGGAGGCTGGTATATTACATGCTACCACCCCACTTCTTCAAAGCCAAGAACTGTCCTGGCCCACTCCCGCTCTGTCAATGCCTCCCACCCCAATGCCTCCTCTGTCCTCCACCTTGATGTATTCCCCTTGATGCACAGGGTTTCCCCTGTTGACTGCCCCCAGAACTGCAGGGAGCCAGGGCCAGAGGGTATATAGTATATTGGAGGGACAGACCAGGTCATGCTGGTACAGGAGGGGCACTGTATATGCAAGAAAGCACAGCACCAAATGAAGGAAAAAATCTGAAATGAACCAAACAGTACCACAGAACCTCTTGAATCAGGGGGTTCCAAACTTTTTGACATGGGGACCAGTAAATCCATTCACAAGCTTTCGGAGGACCGGTAACATTCATTTGCATATTTGCATATTCATTAAGCAAATTACAAATATGCAAATATGGTGGTTTTGGTACTCCCAAAGCCCCCAGAGCCAGTTTTAGCAAAGCTTTTGCTATGGCCACCCACAATATTCTTACCAGCAAGTCAAGGGAATATGGATTGGAAAAATGGACTGTAATCCAATAAAACCCTGCACCCCAACATCATGTATTGAAAAGGGGCTCATTTATTTTCAGAAAGCTGACACCATCTTTGCAATTTTTTATCCATATTCTGATTCCAGATGGTGAATGCACCAGGTTCTCTCCATTCGGACACATTGCAGTGCTTTTAAACCTCAGTCAGCAGTGGGGATATTTAAAAGGCACTGCTTTTACATTTGTATTCAGGATCTGTGTGCACCCTGAACTGTCCTGCTCACTGCTGGCCAATTCTTCCCCCCTCCCCCTCCCCCAGCCCTGCTGTCCCC